TGACTACAACACTGCATTCCTCTGACCAGCTCTCATAGTATGCCAATGAAATGACTTGCTCGCTCTACAGATGTAGCGCTTCATTTCAGACAGTTTGAAACGCGAGGGCCGTGATTGATACGTGATCTGCCCTCGCTCAAGGGAAAACCTCCAGCTTGACTTGAGACCTCCCCCGTGATAAATAAATGTAATTATTATGAAGCCAGCTGCAATGGATCATTGATCCACCAGGGGGTGCAGTGGGGTTCCACACTGGAGCTCATGTGAAATAAAGTCAGATACAGTACGCTGGATGTACAGCGGAACTTTGTTAAGATCCATATGTCACAGATATCATACTCTGTGCTAAATAAGAGACATGTAATCATTCACAAAACATCACCATGTTGTTATTTAACAAAATAATGTTGTTTAGTCGAAAAAAACGAACGGGAGGAAATGCAGCCCGGCTCTCGATTTGTAATCCTAATTTAATCATCATCTTCACCACGATCATTTATGTTTATGTTCGCCGAATTGACATGAAATCACTGACACATATGAATATACTGTATTCAACTTCATTAAAACGTTATTAACGTGCCTAAACTCAGTAATTCACTACAAATATTTATATTTTAATGGAGCCTCGTCGGCAGATCAGGATCCCAACGCGTAGCGGAGGGATCTTGATCTGCATGAACGGTGTTATTTTCCCCATAAGGATCAAGTCGCTGCAAATTATCCCGCTTATTACATGGCCACATTCTCAACAAAGTAACGACATGACTCCCAATATTAATTGAAATGCTTTTATTGATTTAGAAAATGTTTTTATTGATTTAAAAAATAGTTGTATGTATTGATTTAAATTGACATGCATCCGCTAAGAAAAATAGTCCGTTGTTACCGTTTTTTAAACAGTCTGAATGAAACGGCAGCTCTCAGCTGTGTATTTACACAACTTATGGCCCATCAACCACAGCTCTCTCCCCCCCTCCCCCCCTGATCTTTCTTCTCCAGCAGCTAAATTAACTGTAGGTTACTGAGTGACAAGCTTACAGTTAGTGACGTAACAACACCATAAAAGCTTGTGGGTTGAAAGCAATACGGGAGGTAAAAATAACTAGAATGTGGCTTTTATGTTTTTAGGTATAAAATGTTATATAATTCAGGCTTATAATTCACCCTTCTCTAAAAGCCTTCAACAATGACAATATTCATAGTAATTTAATAAATTATTATTATGATTATTTAATATATAAAGCCTATATATTATTGAATTACAAGATTAGATATACTTTATTTGATCTAAAATATGTGTTCAAATGCTCTTCAAAACACAACGGAAAGTCCATGAAACTTGTCTTTCTGTATTTGTGAATGAAGCGCCATCTCCTGGTTAAAACCTGAAATTGAAAATCTGGCAACGCCCTCTTGGAAAATAGTGGGAGGGCTTAACATTCCTCGATACTGGTCTTAGGCAGGTCGTAGGCAGGAAGCTGTAAGCTGGAGTCTGAAATGAGGTGCTACATCTGTATGACGCGTTGAACCCAATGTGAGCAAATTACTCTGAATGCTGCGACGCAGCACCTGAGATTACTTCCAAGAAGTTGTTCACGTTCTCAATTTTTTACGTTTAACGTTATATTCGTTCGGTACACTTCGGTACATACGTGTACCGAACTGAAGGGCCCGTACCGAATAATTTCGGCGTGCGTTGACGCTTGGCAGTGGGCGTGTCTTGAGCTTGGGAAGTTTACGTGAGCGACGCGACCAACAACCAATCACATGAATCTCTCCTGTCAATTGCATAAAAGGTTTTACATGTCACACTTTATATGATGAACATTTATGACATTAATGTCTATGGTGCTATTTTACGCAACATTCCATGCTGACTAAATACTGTCTATGCCTGCTAGCTGTCCATTCAAACGAAGTACACTGGATATAAACTCCCCAAACAGGCGAAAACCTACCAGTTTCACCCACTGTCTCTGCCACCTCCCTCCGTGCCTGGCTCTTCCGGTTTGTATCCCGGTAGGTGAACAGGGACTGATCATAAAGCACCGGGTGATTCCCTACCGCATGCGGCTCTTTGCCTAGTTTCATGCGGCTCTTCAGTTCATATCGAATTTTATGTGTGAGTTTGGGGGAGAGACACTGACTCTGTCCTGACTAGTGTTGCACGGTGTAACGATACTTGAAAGGTATACCGCGATACTCTGCCGTTAAAAACGTTACGATTCCTCCGTTTCATTAGTATCGGTACTTTAAGAATGACGGGGGAAAGTACTCCGGTGAGAAAGCGCCGTTTCAATAAGAGCCGTGTGTGTTCAGCGCTCTGCTTCCACTCCCTGCACTGCAGCCGTGCCTGCAGTCCCGCCCCTCTCAAGCACGTTTTAAGTCCCTCCCCTCTCAAGCACGCTCTAAGTGCCTCCCCTCTCTCGTGCACGCGCTAGCTGCAAGAGCATTTGAGAAAACGAGAAGCATGGTTGCAAGTGGGAGTGCAACTGCCGCTGCGCCTTGGCTTGTTGACAAAAAAGACGCCAGAAGCGAAATTTGGAAGTATTTAGGGAAACCTATCGTTGATTAAACACTATTTCCCCTATCATTGTCTTGGAGGGGCGCAGCGCCCCGCCAACGGAGCCCCGCGCCCCCCCTGAAATTCAAGGTGTTTAAAAAAAAAATATATATATATTTTTTTTTTTAAATATATATGTAGCACCAAATTGCAAATAATCTATGACTACTGTCACTTTTCACATTGAACATGTGCTCTTTTATTAAATAAACGCTTTCATTTTAAGTTGTGGGTTTAGTGTTTTTGACCCTAAGAAACAGATGCATTAATCAATAACAATAATCCACAGCTCCTCTCTCTGCTCCAGAGGATTTAAAAAATATATATCCCAATGCCACAAAAATGCATCAGTGACGTGGTTGAAATCTTGTCTCCAGAAAACAAAAAACTGAAACAAGCTGTATCAGTGACTGTGTGTTTGATGTGGCTCTTTGCAGTAACAGAGAAAAAATGTGGCTCTTAACCTCTGACTGGTTGGCCACCCCTGCCCTACCGCTACGATTATTTTCTCCTCAATTTTTTGGCATGTGAGGAAATGAACTGCGGTCTGCCTCTCCCAGCATACACGCGGCTTGATTGGCTAGCGCTTGTACTGGCAGATTTGCATAAGCGGGATTTGATTGGCTGATGCCTCCGTCGAAGCTTCAAAAGTAGAACATTGCTCTACTTTTGCAGCGAGCACCGCGAGAAAAGCTACGTTTTGCTCCCACAATGCAGTTCGGCGAAGCGTGACGTCACCCCATTCAAAGTGAATGGACAGAAGCGTTGAAGAGTCAACGCACGCGGCCGTGTGTAGGGGTACAGTCATTGCTTTCTGACGGACTTGACCCTTTTACTCTTCAGGTTGCATAGGGAAAATTAGTAGCAGTCTACTGCCATGCTATTCAGTTCACTTTCTCCTACTTCCTGTACCCGGTTTCCTGTAAAGAATTAAACAAATAAATAAAAACAAGGATAATTGTGTGTTATTGTTGAGTAAATAACAGTGTGTTAATTAGAAAAGAATAACAAATTAGAAGGAAAAAAAGATTGAAAAAATACAGATTTCAGTATTCTGAGGCTCTGAGACCCATTTATTTTCCTCATTGACGGCAAAAGAAAGTCCGACATTATAAAATAAAAACAATAATTGTGGCTTGATATTGAGTAAGAACATGTTTTTATGAACCACACAGCTTCCGGTCTTCCAAGACCCGACCGGAAAAAAAGACGTGTTGCAGGCACGAAACACACTACCAATAGAAATACATTGCTTTTAAAATCGTTCTGTGTGACACGAAAAAAAAAGGGGGAAATCGTGTTGGTGAACACGAATCAATAGATTAAATTCATTTCATGACTATAACACGAAATGCCGTGAGACTGGGTTGGTTATTTAGACACAAGTAACTCTTATAGTTTCATGTCTTGTTACATAGGAATAGATCATATTTGTTTATTATGGGAGAATTACTATTCTTTTGGTACTACTGCCTTATTAGACCCATATTGAGCAGAGCATATTAAGACCAAAACTCATGTACAACAACTTCCTTACTTGCAATAAATAGGCACTAATTAGAGGGTTATTGAGGAAAAACTCAATTAATGGCTTATTACTTGTAGAATATAGTCATGTAGAATAAGGCATTAATAAGTGTTTGATAATGACTAATACAGAGCCAATATACTGCTAATATGCATGTTAATTAACAACTAGTTGATGGTTAATTTGTGTACCTTAATATAAAGTGTTACCCTGCCTTTTTATTGAATACAAGTCAAGTGTGCCTTTTTTTGTTATACAGTTCAACTTTGATTCTAGAAACTTAATGACCATCATCAGATTAAACTTTATTTAAAAGCATACTTAGTTCTGTGAAGGGATATAAGGATATATGCACTGTACTTCACTTTAATTACAATTGTATGCTGATTTTTTGTTGAATAGATTTGAGCGGTTCAAAATTGTGGGTCGCGATTTTTTGACGAAGGAAAAAAGTGGGTCCCGAGGCCTGACCAGTTGAGAACCACTGTTCTATAGGTTTGTGTGCATGTAAATGGTCTGCAAAGGCTAAAATCCCTGTGTTCCCTCCTGAGGGAGTTTCTCTCACACAACACATTGTACGTGACAGGGGCGGGACATCTCTAAGCGGTTGACCAATCACAATAGCTAACCAATCAGAGTAGACTGGGCTCTGGTTTCAGACAGAGGGTGAAAAGAAGTGCTGCAGCACAGGCAGTATGAGAACAATAAAGAGCTTTTTGAACATTAAAGCATGGAGACACGTCACAGTAGAGACACTACATACTGATATGAACCTGAAAAAGAGCAAAATAGAGCCCCTTTAAAATAATTGAAATTAGTAAATGTTTCCAAATCTTGCAGTCCTAACGTCTATGGAATAAAAGTGTCGTGTGTCTTTAATCAGACCTCCTCTCTATCTCCCCTCAGTCTTACTCAGTGGGTGGTTTGGGTGATGATGACTACAACATTCCCCCCATCACTCCCCCCACCCTGCCAGAGCACATGCTGCACCCCCAACTCCCACACGATTCCCGCTCTGGACCATACCACCAAATGGACCCCCCTTCCAGGTCAGCGCCGCACCACCCCTACCAGCTTCAGGGCATGGACCTGCCCGGCATGTCCAGTGGCCAGGATGGAAACGCCCTGCTGAACCAGGATGGGGGCACCTTCAGTCCGGACGGGGGCCCCATGACCAGCACCCTGTCTGTGGTGAGTCCTCACAACACAATGAACCACAGGGAAATAGTCAAATGTACATACATTACTTTTTATTGCGCTCCTCCGTGACGATGACCGCTTGCGTAAAAAATAAATAATAAACACATTTAAAAAATGGGGGGGACACAAATGGGATTTTGAAAAGTGGGGGGGACAGTGGAAATTACGCCCATGAATATCATGTGTTTTCATGTGTACAAAGTAACTGTGAATGTTAAAATAAATGAAGTGCAGTAAAAAAGTACAATATGCGCTTCTTAAATATAGCGGAGTATAAGTATAAAGTTGCATTACATTTAAATTAGGGCTGTCAAACGATTAACATTTTTAATCAGATTAATCACAACTTAAACATTTATTAATCATGATTAATCACCATTCGAACTATGTCCAAAATATGCCATTTCTTTATGCATATTGTTGTGGGAATGGAAAGATAAATGAAAGAAGGCGGATATATCCATTTAACATACAGTATCTATGTTTATTATAACATTTGTGTCAAAATGAAAGACAACCCACACACCTATCAATCATCAAACCGTGGGGTCTTAATTCATTGCGTGTTGATTTCTATCAATGGGGGAGTACTTCAGGAAAGTCGACGGGGGGGGGGGCGGCTAGTGGAATACTTCGTGACCACAGAGTGTGAACGTTGTGATCAGCTGTTTTAGCGCAGTTCTCCAGTGAAGGGGGGGAGTCTCCCTCCGCAGCCGGTTGGCGTAGTTTTGGCACAATTCCGTTGTACAGTACAGTACAGACCGACGTTAACAGCAGCCCTGTCTGTGCACACGGAGACCGACTCTGTCGTCCGGTGATCTAACCGCCTTCTGGAAAAGCTTCACAAGTACGTCGGTACACAAATGCGCTTTGTGACACAAGTGACGGTACGCATTTCAGATTACGCACATAACCTGCGTACCAGTTATGTGCACCCCTGTAGCCTACTACAGCGAAAGTATTCTTCGTCGGGACTTCCTGCAACAACACCACGCCGTTATCTTGATTCTGATTGGCCAGAAGACATTATCAAAGATGTTCTATTGAGAAGACGATCACTACGTGACAAAAGTTTTCAAAACCGTTTCTGGTCTTCGGTATTTCCAGACAAGTGGCTACTGAAATCAATCTTACTAACTGCTATCTGTGCAATTTACTCCGCGCGAGTTGGCAGACTTTATTTTGCTTACTTTAACATCATTTTTCATGGTGGGGCTAAGCCATTTCTTGGTATGGGTGTAGCCTACCCCAGCCATACCCTGGCGCTGCCACTGGTGGGATGTATGGGGCGGGCCATTCTGCACATGCGTTAAATGCGTTAAATATTTTAACGCAATTAATTCAAAAAATGAATTAGCGCCGTTAACGCGATAATTTTGACAGCATTAATTTAAATACTCAAGTAAAGTATAAATATGTCAAAAATACTTGAGTAAATGTACCTATTTACATTCCACCACTGATAGTAGCATGCTGATTGACAACAGAACATGTTAACAGAGTGATTTTTGAAAAGACCTCTGTGAGGATGTGGCTATTGGATCACAGTAAGATGATTGATGATGCTTCACACCAGGGGCATGTGGACTCTATCCTGCTCAAGGGTCCTCTGACTTTACTTATTGTAAGAAGTGTGAGCATATCAGTGTTAAGATTTGAAGTGACAGCCCACTGATGTATTTTAACTTGTGTTTCATATTTTATTCACTTTAAACGTGTGAAACGGGCTTTTGCCTGAGGCGCTGTTATTTGAATCGTGGTAGCGAGTGGATGTGACATTTACCTCATATTTTAAGTCTTCATTTCCCAGTAAAATGAAAATGTCACTGCCTGTGTCATACAGTAAAGAAATGAAAGCTTCACCTCGGACAGAAACTTCTGATCAGAGGGGGGACAGAGCCATATATGTGTCAGAGGTGCTGATTCATATATGTGTCTGCTATTTTATTCAGAATGAAACTTGTCACCTCCCACTCTTGGTCTTTGTCTCCATCTCCAAAGCCGTGATATATTGACAGTTAAATTAAAGCTGAGGATTTCACAAATATACATTTATACACACTTACATACCCCTGTTCATATGCATACATACACACCTACTTAACATATATATATTTATAAATATACATGTGCAGCCTTATATTTTGCTGCTTAGCAAAGCTACAAACAATCAGAATGCACTGGAGAAAAAGAAAGCACGCTCAGTGCTTTTGCCCCATATTTGTAATGATAATAAAAAAAGAGCATGACATTTTAGTTTTAGTTTTTACATTTTCAAGTGTCTCCATCTCCATATTAAAGCTCCCTACTTTAATTTAAAGTCTCAGTTTGAAGCCTCATGATGAAGCTCACAGCGCAGTTACATTATAAGACTCTAAACCACCACAACACAGACAGTTTTTAATAACACAATCCCTCTGTTTGATAGTGACTAACCTGTGTTAACTGTGTAACCGGGGAGATTATTAAAGTGGCCTGAAGGGAAGCTCTCATTTTCCATCAGTTTGTCTCCGGCCTACCTTTTCTCTGCACCTCGCCTTTATATTCTCATATTAACATTCATTTACTGCCGGTCCATGAATGATGGTCGCCTAGCAACGGTGCCTGGCTCAGCCTAATCGGGGTGGGTGGGGGTCGACGTGTGTGTGTATGTGTGTGTGCGCGTGTGTGAGATTCCAGGAAGAGGCAGGACTACTGAGTTGCATTTAATATTGAGACTGCTCTTTTTATTTCTGGCTGCCATCTGCATGAAGGTTAATGTCTAAAATGAGGAGGTTACAGAATTAAATGTGAGCTCTCAGATGGGATTTTGTTCCCACTTGGTTCAAAGTTATAAACGTTATGTTTATATTTAAACATTGCAAGTGACAGTTCTTATTTATCTGTCATGTACTGATGTAAAGTCATTTAACCTGCCGTTTTGTGACATAAACCTTTTTGCAGAGAGACGTGTGCATGAGCAGTGGTACGGATGAACACAGACAAATAGTGAACACTACGGAAATGCAAAATGTCTGGATAGAAAATCCAGAGGTTCTGTACATACATTACATCATGGTTAGGCAATATGACCTTTATTGAGATTTTGACATATCTTTTATACCAAGTCTAGCGGCGACAACCTAAAGAAATCCAACTGAAAATCAAAGTGTCGCTGAGGCCCCAGCGAGCGTATCTTACGCAGGAATGATCCAAACCCATTAATTTCCATTAAACAAAGTTCAATTAACAGGTTTCCTATATATTCATGCCCTCAGCCTTTCCTATGGAATCTTTTGTTGTGAGTAAACATTTGCCGTTACTGGTGCGCTGATCCCCCAGCACCTGTCTCCAGTACACATCATCAGCGGGGGCCCACCATGGTGAGTGTGGACCCCCTCTCTAGGGTCGTTGGTAGCATTGCCAGTAGTCAGGTTCATTATAACTTGATTTTAACTTTCGTGGGATTTTTGTGGGGATTTGCTAAACTATACATTTTTGGAAAGGGTATTGTATAAGGATTCAGAAAATCCATGTTTCCATTTGCCCAGATGTCTATATGGCGGCCATATTGGAATTTCCAAAATGGCCGCCGTAAAATGTAGGTTTTGTAATATCTCGGCTTCTAAATAATCTGGAACATTGATTTTAACTTCTAAACCTACATTTTCAGGGTCAAGGAACCCAATGCTAGTTACAAAGGTATCACATTTTACAACATTAACCCTTTGATGCATGAGTCGGTCGAAAATGACCTGTGCTAAGTTTTTTTAAGTATACAAAAACAAATTGAATTGATTATTTTTCATAAAATACTCTATAATAGACCATTATCTTATATCGATAAATATAAAATATCTATAAATTCAATTCAGGCAAACAAATTAATAATCTTATGCAAGGCCCTGTGCGACCACAGTTTTTCGTCTCCTATGGCAACGGCCCTGTTCTTCAGACTTCTGATATTCTTCTGATATTTGTTGTGGACCACAAATAGCCTACTATATGAGAAGTGTCATCCTTCAAGGTTATTTTACACATCATTTGATACATGTACAGTAAGTATTATCTTCATTTTTACCTCAGAAAAGTTCAACAGGTTTTATGTCCAATTTCATTTAAGCTAGCTAACATTACTATTGTGTAATTCATGATGTCATGATGTTATCATCTTGTATCATTGAATTAAAATACAGTAGTTTGCTAATACTAGTTAGCTAACTAAATATGCTAGCTAACAATACTGTATAGTTTGTGTCATGACTGTTGTTTGAGAGATGTGTTATCATCCAATTAGCCTACTTTATAGTTAGCTAACACTAGCTAGCTAGCTAACTAACTAAGCTAGCTAACATTAGGACTACTGTATCTACAGTATAATGTGTGTGTGTGTGTGTGTGTGTGTGTGTGTGTGTGTGTGTGTGTGTGTGTGTGTGTGTGTGTGTGTGTGTGTGTGTGTGTGTGTGTGTGTGTGTGTTGTATCATGTGATGAATATGTGTTATTGTTCCTCAGACTTCTGATGTTCTCCTGATATTTGTTGTGGACCACATCGGCCCTACAATATCAGAGGTGTCATCCCAAGAAGATTATTGTACACAGCTTCTGATACATGTACAGTAAGTATTATCTTCTTTTTTACCTCAGAAAATATGTAATTGGCTAGATTTCAGCAACATACTTGCACATGTAAGTATTGCTACTGTAACTAGTAGCGTATTAATCATGTATCAATTTAGCCTGTCAACTAGCTTGACAATATTTTCTGTCTTTGCAGTTTCTAAGCATGAGTGGAGAGTCACAAGGTAGAGAAGCATCATGTCAAGCCGAGGAGTCCGTTAGCTGGAAGCAGTGCATTATCTGCCAGTCTGATGATGACAAGAAAGGAGTCCTGGTGCAACATCCTAAATTAGAGTCCTATGGACTCGTACTGCAGGCAGTTCAAGAGAGGGCCAGTTTGAATGATGGGGACTACGTCCAAGTCCAAAGGCGACTTCAAAACTGCACACTAGAA